GTGGAGCCAAGCAGACTAAAGCTGTGAACAATCTCAATCTCTTCACCATCCATCCTGATGCTTCCAATTGGTCCAGTAGTGAGAATCTTCTGTCTACAATGTATTCAATATATTTCACCAATCACAATATGATCTACAAAGAAAATATTCTATATCCTACATTGGTGAATGGCAACTGGTGTGTGAAGATCACATCAGGGAAAACTATTGGTATCTCCTCTTCCAGAGCAAAGAAGAGTGAAGAAAAGCAAAGGCTCATGGAAATAATTAATTCAAAGAACTAACAGAACCTCAGCTTACATAGTCTTAAAACCAAAAGAACTAGTTGATATCCAGCTACCATTTCTGATAACTTAAAAAGAGAGTTCAATAGAAAGTCCTGTACAGAGTGAAAAAAAAAGTGCAACAAAACTAAAAAAAACAACAAAAAGGTAGTATCTAGGTATACTCAAGTACCTAGAACAGAGCCTGTCACATGGTAGACACCCATAAACCTTATGAAACATAGTATTGAAATCCTATGTAGGACAATTTTATTCTGACACACTTAGATAAGACCACACTTTAGAAATAGTATTTAAGGAGAAGAATATTTTAGGTCATATTAATAGAAAAATTGGAAGCAGTTATGGCATCCAAGTCCTAAACAACATGCCTCTGGACACTCTATGAAATTTGATAAATGATGATAGTTATAGAAAGGTTTCAGGCCTTTTGTTCACAGGGTCACTATGAGTTGTGTTCGACTAGACGGCAACCAACAACAATAGAAAAAAGTAAGCAGCCCAGAAACTTGTGAGAAATAAAGAAGTGTAAAGGGAAAAAAATAATAAAATGCAATAGTTTTCAATTCTCGTATGCTTCATTTTCTGGAGTTCTTAAGAAAAATGATAAATATAGTTTATCATTCTGCCTGGTCTACAATATCACCATAGTGGGTTGCAGGTTAGATCCTTATTATTTATAGTATTTTCACTGACTGATTTTCAGAAGTCAACCAAAAAGCCCATCTTTCTACTCCATCTAAGGCTGAAAGCTCCACGGCAATGCATAGCTCCATTGATCGATGAATGGTTGCTGTGTATGAGCTGCACTGGCTGGAAATCAAATTTAAGCCTCCTGAAGAAGGGGAAGAATTCTACCACTGAACAACCAACACCTCACAACAATATCATAACAACAGCAATAGGGGATCTCTGTATTTCTTAATAATAAACTCTGATATCATAGTGTATTAGCAGTTTTGTAACTAACGGAAAATCAGCAGTTGAAAATCATCAGCTGCTTCTTGGGAGGAAGAAAGATGGGCAATCTTCTCCCATAAGTATTTACAGCCTCGGAAACCTGATGGGAGTTTTCTGTGAATCAAAACTGACTTGGTGACAGTGGGCTTGGGGTTTTTGTTTGGTATTGTTTAGTAAAGTTTGGGATATAGTTTCTAATTTTAAGATACTTACAGCTATCAAAATTAATGATAATAACTAGAGTTATTGAGCTTATACTATATGATTCAGCATGTATTTACTTAGTCTTCCTGATAATTCTCTGTGGTAAGTATTGACAAGGAAGCTTAGACAGAGTTTCAGTAAGCTTCAGTAAGTTGTTCTGAGTTCTGGGCCTATGATCTTAACCTCCTCAATATACAATCAAAGGAAATGAAGCCCTATAGGAAAACAAATACACAAGGAATGGTACAAAAGGTTAATAAGCTCAGCTTTTAACTGAAAGATTAAAAATTCATATCTACTCAAAGACATGAAAGACAGCCCTGGTGAGGAATTTCTGAACAAATCCAAATATTTAAAATCCTGCAGAGCACAGTTTTACTCTGATACACATGGAGTTATCACGAGTTAGGGTCAACTATATGGTAATTGGTTTGGCTAATGTATCAAAAGCAACCAAAAAAATCATGGAGCCCAGTGGCACTGGTTCCATAGCAAGCGCAGAAAAAACATCAAGTTTATAATTTTGTCATAAGTAAAGATAGTCAGTGAGTATGTGAAATGCTAGCTAACCCATGCTAACAAATATGGACAGGCTTGAAAAAATGTCACAGCCTTTCAGATGGTATAAATAACCTCAATAAAAGAAAACAAAATAGAGAAGCTCTGATGGCATAGGCCATAGGGTTAATTCAAAGGTTACACCTCTCGGGCAATTTGATTCCTCCTATGGCTACATGGGAGAAAGATGAGCAATCTCCTTCCATGTGATTTGCAGCCTC